GTGAAGTAAGCCAGACCCAAAGAAACATAGGTTGCATGGCTTCCTTCATTTGTGGGAACTAGAATGTGCCTATAAATCAACAAGTAAACACACTGGATTATAAAAAAGAAAATATACTGTGACGTGGTAAATTTTACAAGTCTTTAGACATTCACACAGAGTGAGACCAAATCAGGATGTTCTTAGGAGTGGATCACGTGAGTGTAATAGCTATGTACATCTGACAATATAGAATAATATTTATTGAAACAAACTCCAAGAAGTAGAAACATGTGCTTTTTTTTCTTCATTGCTATTTTTGTTTTCATTTCTTTATGTCTTGTTTGTTCATTTATCTGTCTTTGGGTGGTTAAGGGGGTGGGGCACAGAAATCGTAGTGAACAAATGCAGACTGATACTCACTAGACCCCATGTTGAAAATAAACTATACAATTTGTGGGTAAGGATTGAAGGGAAATGCACTCTTTATCTGACTTATGTAACCATAACCACTCTGTACATCACCTTTACAATAACAATAGATAAAGAAAATTAAAAAATCCATCAAAAGCAAAAAAAAATCCTACTTATATAAGCTAACTTATGAAAGTATAACTCCTCTGTACATCCCCTTTATAACATTTTTTGTTGTTGTTGGTGGTGGTGGTCATGGGGCTTGAACTGGGGCTGAGTTCTGTCCCTCAGCTCTTCAGCTCAAGGCTAGCGCTCTACCACTTGAGCCACAGTGCCACTTCTTATTTTCTGGTGGTTTATTGGAGATAAGAGTTTCACAGACTTTCCTGCCTGGGCTGGCTTTGAACCGTCATCCCCAGATCTCAGCTTCCTGAGTAGCTAGGATTACAGGCTTGAGCCACCAGTGCCCAGCTATAATAAAAACATTTTAATAACAGAAAAAGAAGTAGAAAAACAGAGGCAGACTTTAGAAAATAGGATGTGTGTGCTCTACAGGTGTTACTTTTAGTTATTTTGACATCAGTAATATTTACTTTTTAAGAAAGGAAGAGTTGGGACTGAGCTCAAATTCTGCTTAGGATGAATGTACCCCTTGGTTCTAACATCTGTTATGTTTAATCACTCTTGCTATAACTCTGCTTTATCATATGGACCCAGTAGCCTGCTAAATTTTTGTCTCTGAGGTCTGAACTTTCTTCCAAATTTGGGTCATTGTTTCTATTAAACACTTCCTACAACACAGGTGTTTGTCTTGAGACAGATATTTTTCTTAACACTTTTTAAACCTAATGAGTCATTTTCCCAGAATAAATCTCTCTTTTGAGATTTCCTTGCTCAATATTAGAGCACACTGACCCATCGAGCATCCATCAAGGTCAGAGGGAGAGCCCTGTTCTTTTTTCTTTTACGTAAAGTTGCAGCTTATGAGAGAAGGAAGGGTTAAGACAAATGCAGTTCTTATGTCTTCTTACTGAAGATGTTCATTCATAGTGGTGAGCTATTTATTAATCTTTGGCTACTATTTCCCATGCCTCATTTTCCCTGATCTCCTTTACCTCAGTGTAGAAGGAGGAAAATGAGTGTTCCCATGGGGTTAATTAGAGGAGCATAGTAACTAGAGTAAGACATTCAGATTTACTCCTAAGGAAGAGTAAGTAGAGCCTAAGTTTGGTTGAGATGATGGAGTCACAATTGGGAGGAATCTTAGCTACATGTCAGGTTCTGAGGACTAAGAGGCTGCTGTTGGTAGGCAGATAAATCTAGAACTTAATCCAATGAGAAAAAAATGAAAAGGGGGAAATTGTATTGCCTATCACATGAGATCTCAAGTGGATAAAACAAAATGTGTATTTGTGAGACAGTGGCCACAAATGAATCATGAAACATGTTTATCGTTAGAAAAGCTACTGGGGATCACCATTTCATCTATCAGTAAGTCACCCAAGAGTTTTACTCTAATTGATACAAGCACAAATAAATATCCACACAGGCACACCCACACATCCCCTCTACACACCTATTCCACACCACCACATACAATGTTTCTGTATAAATTATCTAGTCTGAAAGGTTCAGCTTTTCTATTTATGATTGCCTATTATCTTTCATTTGTTCAGAAGACACGACCCTTTTTTTGTGCCCAGGGAGGGGGGGTCTAGTCAAGGGGCCTGAACTCTGGGCCTGGGCACTGTCCCTCAGCTCTTCAGCTCAAGGCTAGCACTCTACCTCTTGAGTCACAGCAACACTTCTGGCTTTTTTCTTTTTGCTTATGTGGTGCTGAGGAATGGAACCCAGGGCCTCATGCATGCAAGGCAAGCACTCTACCACTGAGCCACCTTCCCAGCCCGACATGACTCTTTTTAATGTGCTGTTACCTACAATTTGAAAAACTCTGACTTAGACTCTGAGTTCTGGGTTTCTTGGTAGTTGAGTTATGGAGATAGATAAATTTGATACCACTTGGAGAAGAAGATAATTGATACAGATGGTGTAAAACTATGTCAACTATATGGTTTCTGAACTTACATAGCACTATAGCACTTTTGAAAATCTTACATGTTCTCAGGAGCTGTGACCTCTGGAGACATTGTATAAAATAATTGAATGCATGCAAAGACAATCTGGCTCAAATACATATTTGAGATTGCTCTCTTATAACCAGCTTGTGGGAAAAGGTTTTTAGAGTCTATTCTGATGGATTTTTTGTTTGAGTGTGTACTCTCAAAAGAGTGCCTCATAAATAAACACTTATTTTCCATTACACAAATATGCATATTCCAAACTATCATAATTGAAAAAACCATTAAGACAAACATGAACAGTTAATCAAAATATCAGAATTTATATATATTTTTTCAGGACATTTTCTTCAGGGATTTCCCATTGGTCTTACATCTGGTGTGGGTCTTAGCATTGGGAACTGGCATTTGATCTGGGTATTAGAGCCCTCAGCACAGATTTCCTGTTCTTTTGTTCTTCCACCAAATAGCAGTTCTTAATGTCAGTAGTTAAATTGCTCATTAATTTATTGATCTCCCTTCCAGTACTCTTTCTGTATGTAAAATATTCAATGCATGTTTATAGATTCTTGATGTCTTTCCACCACTGTGCAGAAATTGTACACCATTAAAACTTGTATCAACCAATGACATGTCCAAAGTGTTTCTATGTATGTTACAGTTTTATGCATATTTTGCTGAAAAACAAAGCAACTAATAAGTACTGTCAATGTGTATCCTATAAAATTAAGAAATTTGAGAGAACTGGTGGACTTCCAAGGGATGGGAGAGGATGGTGAAAGGGTGACAATTGTCAGAAACATTGTATTAATAAACTACAGCTTTGTACTGTACAGCTGTACCTTTGTACAGCTACAGAGAGTACACATCTATAGCCTTTAAGTACTGTTAGGCAGGCACTAGGCTAATACCACATTTCACATTTTCACAAAATAATGATAGAACATTTGTATTATTCAGAAAAAATTAGTATTGCTATTTTCATATGAGATATGTGTAGGTATTTTTATTTTTTTCTGACATGTGAAATGTTAATGTCTCAAAATGTAGGAAGGCATGAGTAGAGTGTGGATAATTTTGAGATTATACTGCAAATGTATTTGTAAACAGCATAAAAACCACTATGAACCCAGTGAGCAATAGGAATTTGTCAGGGTAGAGAAATAGGCACTGGAGGGGATGAGGCTTTCTAGTGAAAGCGGCAGGGATAAAGATGATGACAGGTTCAAAACAGATTATCCATAAGCATAAAAATAGAACAATGAAAACAGCTGAAATTGTATTAGACAGGAGGAGGAGCATAAGAGAACATTGCAGAAGGGGTGACATTGATTGAATGCACTGTAATGCATTGTCTACATATTTGGAGAGATCACAATGAAATCAGCCCCTCTGTAGGTTAAAAAATAATCTTTAAATGCCAGGAATTTGAATTGAATACTGTGGGTTTACCTCTCTGCTTTTGAGGATTGCGAATTTGCTTTACATTTCTGAAGATACTTTTCTTTTGCTTGTAGTGTTCTTTTATTTCAAACATTATTTTCCAAGTCAGTTTTAATTTCCTTCTCATTTTTTAATGCTAGAAGTTTTGAGAAGTTTTTCTTATGAGTATATACACATATAAACACACACACACACACACACACACACACACACACACACATATATATATATACATATACACATATAAACATTGAACAACAATCCAGGCTGATGTAGTAATGAATAGACCCCTGATGGACAAATATATAGTTGCATGCATTGAAATCCACTGACAGAAAGTTCCACCTGCCAGATGTCAATGATTCTTACTGTAACAAATCCCATCTGACCAATACTGAGACAATGGACTCTCAGACCACCTGGACCATTCATTTGTGTTTTCTCAATGTCTACCACATTATCTGCATAATATTTTGTTAATATTTTATTTAGGGACAAGGAAACATATCCCTCTAGGAAGCCTGCCACTGTCCTATTAGCAGTGTTCTCATTTTCACAAATATATGCTAGTGCATTTTGACTACTGAGAGCATTATTTGTAAAGTTGTAATTTTATGAGATATTTGTGTTTACATGAGATATTTCCATTTGCCAGTTAATATTGGGGACCATAAAATAATAAAATGCCAGTAATTCTGATGCTTTTGCCCCACTGCATATATATTACAATTGTAATGTTTTCCTACCTCCACTTAGAGTGCATTAATTTTATTTCTGATTCTTTGCACACTCATAGTGTGACTGCCACACCATAATTAAAGAGCAAATCCAAGGCACGATATCTGTTCAAGTCTTGGGCCAAACAAAAATCCACATTAACCCATACTCTGCTCTTTCTCCAACCTGCTTTGCTCACAATTTACCTAACTCTACCTTGGCCCTTCTTTTCCTTTTAGTTCTGAAGGACTACTCAAGCAGAAGAGAAACCTTTAAAAAAAAAAACCAATGCTACATATAACCAAGAAAAAGAGAAGAGACATACCAGCACTGCCTCCAGGCCTTCCCTCATTTGACTTCTCATCGCTCATGATGGCTCAAAGTGAGGGACTGATGCATATGAGTAGCACTTTCCTGAAGCTTTGGCTGTGGTTATTACTCTTTTATTCTGGTTGGCCCACGGTTGGATATGCACAACATTCCAACCCCCCTGAAGTGGTGATACCTTTGAAGCTAACTGGCGATGGGAGAAGTGGTAGGCATCCACTCTGGATCTCCTACAGCCTACACTTTGGGGGCCAAAGATACATTGTCCACATGAAGATCAAGAAGTTTTTCATATCCAGACAATTCTCTGTGTTTAGCTACACAGACCAGGGAGCTGTCCTTAAGGATGAACCATTTGTCCCAAATAATTGCTATTACCATGGTTATGTGCAAGGAGATCCAGATTCTCTGGTGGTTCTTAACACCTGTTTGGGGGGCTTTCGTGGAACACTGAAAATAAATAATATGCGTTATGAAATTAAGCCCAAGAACCATTCTGCCACCTTTGAACATCTGGTTTATAAGATGGAGAGTAAGGAGACACATTTCCCCATCATGAGATGTGCATTAACAGAAGAAATAGCACAATTGAAGTTTCAAGACAGTGATAAACCCATTGAAAGGCAAAGCGATTATAAGGGCTGGTGGACCCATAGAAATTTTCTTGAACTTGTATTGGTTGTGGACAAACAACGATTCATTTATCATGGAAGTAATGCCTCAAATGTGATACAGGAAGTATTCAGCATTATGAATGAAGTCAATTCCCTATTACTTTCACTAGATGTTGATGCTATTTTACTTGGACTCGAGATCTGGAATGAAAAAAACTTTGTGTCAGAAAAGACCATAGCTGATGCACTGTCAGGCTTTTGCCTTTGGAAGACAAAAAGTCTTGATCCTCGGATACAAAATGATCTGGGACATCTTTTCACACAGCAAGATTTTGGTTTAACTCTCGGCTTAGCATATGTTGGAAGTGTATGCAATGAAAATTATAATTGTGGAGTTGATCATGTTGGGGAGGATTTGCATAGCAATGGACACACGGTGGCACATGAGATAGGTCATAATTTGGGTATGCTTCACGATGATCAAAACGAGTGTGTATGCGGAATGAAGGAATGCATAATGGCACCAACAGAAAATGAATCCACACAATTCAGCAACTGCAGTTATTCTGCTCTGATAAAAACAACTAAGAAAACAAATTGTATGCGCATGCCACCAAGCCCATTGCACGTATATAAATATGAGCTCTGCGGGAATCAGGTGATTGATGCTGGAGAGCAGTGTGACTGTGGATCCCTCAAAGAATGTGCAAATGACCTATGTTGTCTAGCAAACTGCACTCTGAAATATGGGGCTGAATGCGCTTCTGGGCTCTGTTGCAAAGATTGTCACCTCCTGCCTTCAGGCACAGTGTGCAGAGCAAAGGAAAATGAATGTGATCTTCCTGAATGGTGTAATGGAACTTCACAGCATTGCCCAGAGGATGTGTATTTGCTGAATGGATCTCCTTGCTTCAGCACTAGCTTCTGCTATAAGAAGAGCTGTAATAATCGGGATGAACAATGTCAGAAGATTTTTGGTGAAAAAGCCAGAAATGCACAAAGTAAATGCTACAGGGAAATGAACACCCGTGGTGACCGTTTTGGAAACTGTGGTTTAACTAGCTATAAATACATCAAGTGTCCCATCTCCGATGTCCTCTGTGGGAGAGTTCAGTGTGAGAACATTTCAGAGTTTCCTTCTTTGGAAGAACACTCTAATATTCATTGGACTCACTTCAATGAGGTCACCTGCTGGGGCACTGACTACCATTGGGGGATGACCAAAGTAGACACTGGTTATGTGAAAGATGGCACGGAGTGTGGGATAAGACATGTGTGCCTCAGCAAGAGGTGTGTCTTGAGGCCATTTTGGTCAAGTGGCTGTTCACCAAGAAAATGCAATATGAGAGGCACCTGCAATAATAAACATCACTGCCATTGCAACAATGGGTGGGACCCACCGAACTGCTTAATAAAAGGCTTTGGAGGGAGCATTGATAGTGGCCCACCTCCAAAGGTACCCATTACCTTTGTAGAAGATGAAAGAGTAAACAAAAAGAATTACCTAATACCAATTTTGATGCTTTGCTTTTTTGTCCTGTTCTTCTGTTTGTTCATGGTTTATTTGAAGAAGTTTCTTTGAGAAAAGTTCTCAAAGGTCATCTAAGAATAAAGACCCCAAGGGTAAAACTACCTGAGAAATAAGAGCTCACTGTTCAAACATTCCCTGGAGAAGAAGAACTCAAATGTTCAAACATAAAGGAAACAGAGTCAAATTTTACAACTGCAGGAAATGATACTACCCATTAATGAAATACCATATATATACGAATTTTCAGCATCCTTGCAGTACTAATGTGAATGTATGCATCAGAAGTAAGTGACAGAAAGCTCCAAAGATGTTTGAGCTTGAGGGATCATAAACATCATTAAAAAATATATGAGTCCTAACATATCACACTGTTCATTATTTTAAGCCACTTAGTGGTCATATTTAATGGAATTCTTGTCTTTGAGTTTCCCAAGCAAAGCTAATTCCTTTGTGCCACCTCTATATCATTCTCTCTTTTCTTCCTCTCCCTGTATTTCTTCTTTCCTTCCTCCCTTTTTCTTTCTCCTCTTCTCAACATGTGTGTGTGTGTGTGTGTGTGTGTGTGTGTGTGTGTGTGTGTGTGTACGTCTGATTGATGTCTCTCATTTCCAAACCATCTTCCCCTTTTCACTATTTTGCCACTTGGAAAGAAGAAACTCCCATTTCATTTCCTCTTTGCCAGTTCTCTCTGTAGTTTCTGTCCATAGAGGCACCAGAGGGAGACTGGGAACCTGAGAGATCTCTAATTGAGTTCATGACAGCATCGTAACAGCTCTTTGGTGGTAGGAGTAGCTTTCAGCCTGCACATTTCCACATACATATTTAGTATCTTCCAGAGCAATAGCATTGTCAGCCTCAGAGATACAGCACACTACCAAACCAAAGTCCTAAGTCAGGATCCCTGCACCAAATTCAAGAGGTTTTAGCTCCAAGATGACAGGACCCTCGGCTCTGAATTTGAGAGTCATATAACCACATGAGATATTAAAATCTCTAGTTTGAATATTCCAATGTCTTTCTTGATCTCTCTTCCTAGCAGCAATAGCAACATATATCTCCTAGCTAGCAAACTGTGGTTATCTCAGAAGTGTGTTTTCTTATTCTTTGACATCTGAGTGGTAGAGAATGAAACTTGGTACCATAGATAACACAGAAAAAAAATCAAATGTCAGAAAATCTGAATTTTTTTATGAAAAACCAATAATATCCCTAGGAAATTATTTAAAGTTAGAATTCATTTTATAATCTGTTCGCACTTAATAAGCTTAGCTACCCAAAAGGCTGAGAGTTGAGGATCTAAAGCACATTGCATCTTTGAATGAAGAATAAAACAAATACAAGACACTGTTAATTATTAGCGGATAGGGAAAATCTGACTAATTAACAGACTATGCACGTATGAAGTACCACAGTAAAGCTTCTTTTAGCAACTAACATGCATTTAAATGAAAATGAACCAGGTGCTGTTGGCTCATGCCCGTAAATGTAGCTACTCAGGAGGCTGAGATTTGAGGAATGTGGTTCAAAGTCAGACTAGGCAAGAAAATGTATGACTTATCTCCCATTAATCACCAGAAAACCAGAAATAGAGTTGTGGCTCAAGTGATAGAGCACTAGCCTTGAGCACAAAAGCTTAGGGATAGAACCCAGACTTCAAGCTCCATGACCACTACCAACAACAACAAACTAAGTGTTAGAAAGATAAAGCATGTCCTTTATTTTTTATTTTTATTTTTTGTCAGTCATAGGGCTTTAACTCTGGGCCTGGACACTGACCCTGAGCTCTTCAGCTCAAGGTGAGCCCTCTACCACCGGAGCCACAGTGCCACTTCTGGTTTTCTGGTGGATAATTAGAGATAAGAGTCTCAAGGACTTTCCTGCCCTGGGGTGCCTTTGAACCGTGATCCTCAGATTTCATCCTCCTGTAGATAGGATTACAGGTGTGAGCCGTGAGCACCCAGCAACATGTCCTTTCTTGGATAGAGACACTAATAGGAATAGAAAGAGTGAACTGAGAGGGTAGTGAAAGATGAACGTAATCAAAACACATTATATGTGAGTGTAAAAATGGATCAAAGAAACTCAATAAGCTGGCTTTGGGAATGCACAGGGGAAATGGAAAATGAGGAAGGTATTGAGCAGATATAGATTTGTCTAAATAAAACCCCTTTGCAACACTGTGTTAATGGATTTTAAAATTTCAAACAAAAAAGAAAGGAAAGAGCTGGGCAATGGTGACTCATTTCTGTAACTTTACCTAGTCAGCAAACTGGAAGTTGAAGCTTGAGCTTCAAAGTGAGCCCTTAGAGAAATGCCCATGAGTCTTTAAAACCAATTCACCAGTGAAAATGCTGGACTATTTACTCCAGTATCATAGTGCTAGTCATAAGAAAAAGCTAAGTGAGAGAGCACAAGGCCCTTAAAGACTAGGACTGGCAGGCGCGCGCGCACACACACACACACACACACACACACACACACATAGAGGAAGGTATTAAAATTTACTACTATTATTTCCTTCTAGATCTTCTATTTGATCAGCTTTAATATGTAGGTGCTATGCTATGGGGTGTCTATATCATATATAAGTGTATATATTGTTATTTATCTTCCTGGTGATTTGACATCTTGTCTTATGCACCAAATTTCTTTTTCTCCTGTGACAGTTTCTTACTTAACACATATATAATCTGATGTAAATAGGTGTTTCTGAAGTGGATATTTGGATACAGATAAAGAAGGTGAAGCTTTAGCTTCGTACTGATACAAACCAGGGAAATACTACTAAGACTAGAGATAATCCTCAAATCAATCATTCAATTGCAGAGGAAGTATGTCCTTAAAAAATAAAAAAAGATAACTTCTGGTCTCCAGAACTGTCATACATTAACGTTTGTTCAGACACTAATTTTGTGGCCTTGTGAAGCAAACAAATATAGAGATCAAAATGATCAGGTCAACTTTTGTCAGTTAAGAATTTGTGTTGAGCCAGGCACTGGTGGCTCATGCCTCCAATCCTGGCTGCACAGGAGGCTGAGATCTGAGGCTAGTAGTTCAAAGCCAGCTGGGGAAGGGAAGTCCACGAGATTATCTCCAATTAACCACCAGAAAACCAGAAGTAGTGCTGTGGCTCAAGTGGTAGAGTGCTAGCCTTGAACACAAAAGCTCAGGGACAGTGCCCAAGCCCAAAGTTCAAGCCCCCACAACTTACAATATAAAGAAGAGAAGGTGGGAGGGAGAGAGAAAATTTATGCTGAACAGCTAGGCAATTCATGCGTTAATTGAGAAAGCAGAGGCAAACAAATTTATTAAGGTGGACATGTAGTGGGAGAAACTTTAGTAGCAGATATCACACTTGCAATATTTGTAATTTTTATGATATAGGTGATAACTGACAAATTATATTAGCTATTATGTGACTCACGTAACTTGCTAAAGACAGTCTTCTAAAATTGTCTTCAGTCGAACCTGCCAGTTACTTCTTGACTTAGGAAATTTATTCCTACTATAACTTCAATTCATCTGTGTTTTCTTCTACATTGTGGTTTTGCCTGGTCTCTTAGAAAACAGATTTCCATAAGCAGAAAAAGCAATTTTATGCACATACAAACTGTCTCTTTTGTATTGATCTCAAAGACAGAGATCATTAGTGATGTCTAAATTCCTTGGAGAATTGGTTAGGTAGGCTTGAGGATGAAGTGCTTCAAGTATTCCACAACACAGTTCAATATGGGAAGTAAATTGACAACAGGGCAGCAGTATGAGCAAAAGCAGGGGGTGAAGTGAACCTTATTGCAAATAAGGAAAATACAGAGCTGTCATTGGTGGCAGGTGAGGGATTGTGAAGATTCCCCTTAGAAATAGGGACCATTCACTCAGGGTTTTATCACAGTTTCTTAAATTTGAATGCGGAATATTTTGGGACAGTAATGTTAGGAAAATCTGTAAGCACTATATTCATTAAGTAAGAAGCAACAAGAAAATCAGAAGTACATTCTACTATATAGAAAATGTGTCATGATTGAGAAACAAGCTATTTTGACATCAGGGGCATTTATGGCAAAAGAAAAAGGAAGGAAGGAAGGAAGGAAGGAAGGAAGGAAGGAAGGAAGGAAGGAAGGAAGGAAGGGAAGGAAGGAAGGAAGAAAGAAAGGAAGAAATAAAGAAAGAAGGAAGGAAAGAAAGAAAGAAGGAAGGAAAGAAAGGAAGAAGGAAAGAAAGAAAGAAAGAAAAAAAGATTTCTAACGTATTTGTAGGGTGTATTTTTTGTTGCTTTGTTATGTCCCTTCCCCAAGGTATAACCCCTGTTTTCACTGTATTTGATGTTGGTATAATTTGTGGAGGGAAAGGAAAAAAACAAATTGTTTAAATAGGGATACATGTCGACCCATTGCAACAATGAGATACACAAGACGTTATGTCGAAAAACGAACTGTACAACTTTTGGCGCCAGCGGGGGAGGAGATGGGAACGGATGGGAAGGGGAAATAACGGAGGAGGCAACAATGCTTGATAAGAAGTGTACTCTTTACCTTGCTCATGTAACCCCTCTGTATGGTATTTTCACAATTAAAAAAACAAGAAAGAAGAAATGAAAGAAAGAAAGAAAGAAAGAAAGGAAAGAGAGGAGAAAGAGAGACAGAAAGAGAGAGAGAGAAAGAGAAAGAAAGAAAGGAAGGAAGAGAGGGAGAGGGAGAGAGAGAGAGGGAGGGAAAGGAAAAGATAGAGTTAAGATTTGGCTCAAATTCTTGATAAATGTCACCCTTTGTTCGAACATTTTGTACATCTTTGTACACTTTGTACATCCAACTATTTTTGCTTTCACATAGGTTTTATATGGACCCAGAGACTTCAAGGTTGGCCTGCTAAACTGTTGTCACTGATTGGTCTTTCCACAGCCTTGACATTTTTATAACAGGACTTCTCTCCACACAAAAGACAGATTCTGCAAAACATTCAAGATAAACCATCAATTGAGATAAATTTTTTTAAAAAACCTGTCTATGATGTGATTTATCCAGAATAAGTCTCTTAAAATTTCCTTGCTCAAT